CAAGTCATAGCCTTTTTACATGAACAGCAGCAGCAGCCATGGAGATTGTTTCCTTTTCAAAATTCAAATTACGATTGGTGGAGCTGAAGCCTATCCTGCAAACAATTGTAGTACCTTAGCCTACATCCAAACCACCACCAAACTTTGAAAAATCTTGTTTTTCAATCCACTTTGGTTATCACGAACGGGACAGCTTATCTAATCCCACTCAAAATTAAGCTAAAAACATAATTAATAAAAATCAAACACAAGACTGCCCACATAATCTATAGCGCGTGGACACAACTTCGCTGATGGACGTACGTCCATCCTTGATATGCAGTTATGTGAATTTGTGATCTGATCGATTCTCTAGGTTCATTTATTTGGAGCTTATGCTAAAAAATATTGTTGTGTTTTCTCATATTTCATTTATACATATGTGTGTTGTACTGTTGTTGACGCAGGAAAAAAAAAAAAAGAAGTTAATTGAGTTAGGAAGAAACTAATTTAATGCGAAAACCTAATAGGACCAACCCAAAAAGTAAATAAAAGAAGAAGTCTTTGTCATCTTTCTCCTTAAAACAAGTTGCATTAGTTAAAAAGACATAGAGGGGTCCTTGTCAAGGAAATGCACATGGCAGCGTTCATAATGACTTTATGGCAAGGGAGAGGAAGACAAGGGACCCCCTCCCAGCAATCACTTCTATGGATGTGCCTTTTTCCAAAAACCATCTCCATTTGGGTAAAACCCACCCCCATGGTCCGTTGAGAGGTCTAAAGTCAGGGGCATTGGCCAAGTTAGGCCATGCAGATGAAATTATTATTGGTGGATAAAGACCCCACCGCTGGGTCCCACTGAGTATTTATTTCTGAGCTCATTTGATTCAAAATCATGAGGCTCCTTTGCCTTGCCTCCTCCTCCTACTCTCTTTAAAAATACTCAAAAATACTTTATTTTATATATCTTGCTTGGAAGCACTGTCAGAGAGGACCCTTCATGTTTAAACAACCTTCTGTGACCAGTCAAAGACGCACAGAGAGAGAGAGAGAGAGAGCCGTGCTCATGCCAAAACAAAAAGGTCAGCAAGAAAATATTTGAATATTAAATAAAAATATATAATTGTAAACAGTACAAATCTGTGGTCCTTCAATGATGTGCATTTTTATTAATTGTTGTTTCCGTACAAAACCATGAAGGCAGTTCATATAAAGAATTATGATTTTAGTAAGATTTGTCCAAATATATGTAATATTTTGCGGGTGTTGGTGCTTCCTTGGTTGATGCCGAAACACAAAAAGAAAAGGAAGTGGTGGTTGTTGCGCATCTAATTTTAAAGGTATCATGATGCATCACATGGAGAACAACTGTAGATTGTGGAAATTGGGAGGATTAATTTTCAACTTTTTTTTTTTTTCAATTAAGTACTGGCCTTTATTCACGCACTGCACCACTGTCCGTTTTTATTCGTAGACATGTTTTTTTCTTTAAATGTTAGTACGATTTCCTTTTAATATATTTTAAGATAATGTTTGATAATTTTATCAATTAATTGGTTGACGCATACAATTACGCGCGGCATTGTAACTAGACAATGACTAATTACAAAAATAATGCAAAGGAGGAGGGATGAAATATAAGTTTATTCATTATTATATCATATCAGTATTTTTTATAAATTTTTTAAAGTATTCTTCTTGTTAAAATTATTAGTTGTCAAATTTAATCCTACATTGTTTGTTAAATTTAAAATGATAAATAAAAAAATTATTAAATTAATTAATCATTAAATTAAAATATTTATGAGAAAATAGTATACTAATAAAAATATTTTATTCTTAAAATTTTGGCATTCAGTAAAATCTCTATAAAGATTAATATTTTTTATGTAACAATTTTTTTTTTAAAACAAACTATGTTAAGAGTATTTATATGTACAAGGAGAAAGCATAAAGACTCTAAGAATATGAAATTAAAAAAAAAATTGATTTTTTTTTATAAATTTAAGATATTTTTAAAAATATACTATTTAAAAATTTGATTAGATAAATGTTTTAGAATAAATATAAATATAAATAAAAAAAAATTTAGAAAGAGAAAATAATTTATAAGATAAGGCATGAAATTAAAAATGATGCGAACATTAGACGGAATGAACGAAGATTGCAGAGTGTAATGAGTTTACTCTTTCTTCAAAAACAGTACACACCACATCACAAAAAAAAAAAAAAAAAAAAAACACGATGATTTTGTCACGCGAGAAGCTTATAAAAATACACACACTTTATACATACATTATATTTCCACCGGAAAGTTTAGGTTGATTTATATTTTAATTAAGAGAAAAGAAAAGAATTTGAATTTGAATTGTTGAGGTGCCAATGGTAACAAAGTTTAATCTTTATATTGGTATCTTGAATTGAATTTGAATTCAAAAACTGATTGTAACAAAAAAAAATATCTTGTGCAAATCTACAATTCATTATCGCAATCTATTTTAAATAATATTTAAAGAAAAGCTTAATTTAGTTTATGAAACATAGATAGACGATAAACTTAAATTTTAAACTTTTAGTAATTATTTAGTTCCCAAGTTCACAAGTTTTAAATGAAAAAAAAATAAAAAAATCATTAGGTATTCCAATACTGAAATATTTTATGCCAGTTCATGATTTACAATTCAGAAATAAAGTTTAATCAATTATACACTTATATAGAAGATAAAAATAATCACATTAACAAGATGGTTATTAAAAATTTTAATTAAAATATTTTTTTACTGTGATAAGGGTTTCATATTTTTTTACAATATGAAATTGTATGATTAATGGATTTTTTAAAAAAATTTAATAATGCTGAATTAGAATATCAAAACTAATATATGTAAAAACTCATTCAAATATTTTGCTGGATGTATGAAAATGTAGGAAATGAATTAGATCATGGGCTGCCTTGTAATTTAGCAAGCATTTGACAGCTGTACGGAATGCTCTTTAGCGCTGCGAACTCGTGAAAGTTTCTTACGAAGTTAGTATCGTCCTCATCTCATATCGGATTAGCATTAAAGGGGTCATTCTAACTTACGCTGAGAACGCGGCACATGGTTACTGGCGCAAACACCGGATATGGGCCCCCCACATCTATTTTTTCCGCTATTTTTTATACTCCAACACCTCAAAATTACACCCTTGGTATGTGAAAACCATTATTAACCTCAAAAACATTTTAATCCACACTGAAAACTTATAAAAACAAATCAAATTAAAAAAACACATATTGATTATGTTGGGTCCTAATCTCTTGTTTTCTGATCATTTGGAGCGTTAAAACTAACAAAAATAAGTTCCCTCGTAAATAAAGTATAGGAATGGGACTCGTGGGGTTTTGCTATTTCCTCTCTTCTTTCTCCTAGGTTTTCTTCAATCTTGACATCCAGGGATAAAAAATGTAAGAAAAATAAAGTAAAGGGATCAAGTTAGAAAACATACCAAAATAAGGACTGATTTGAATATATTTATAAAAATGATTTAAAAAAAAAGAAAAGAAAAAACCATGTCTCTTTGTATTTCAGACTATCTATAGTGCGTCACCAATGAACAGTACTGCATTTGAGTTCAGACGGATGGTATATAAACAGTATTAATAAATGGTGTTTTGTTTCTAATTAAATGAATAATCAAATTACAAGAAAAATCCTTCATTTTTTTTTCTGGTAATAATATATGAGTAACTAGAATACAAAGCTACTAAATCATTATCATTTAAAATGGTTTTGATAAAACAAGTTATTTTCAAATTTAAAACCTTTAGAAGTCAAAACTCTCACAACAATTAGAAAAGAGAAGATTACAATGCAAATAAGATTTTTTTTTTCATCATAATTGCAGGTGGAATTATTGAATCAGATTTTTTTTTAAAAAAAAAAACGCTGTCCAAGAGTATATTAATTGAGCAAGTTGGCTTTAAAATTTTGTTACCAAATGTTAATTTAGAAGTAATCCTAAATAATTATTCTATCATAAATAATAGAATCAGTTGTTATGAAGACCGAAAACAACTCACTATTCATTAATGAAAACTTTAAAATTTCCAGTTTCCATCTCATGGCAGCCATTGATCAGTAATAATGCATGGTTCTAAGAAACTCCACGTAATGCATCAACAAACCCTCTAGAGTAAGCTTCTAATTTATCATCTTACGAGAAAATCACGCTGATTCATCAAATCACCTTGCTGATGCAATCATTAGCACTAATAACACTCAAAACTTCCACTAACAATTTTTATAAAATATGGGCTACCCCACAGTTAATAAGAAATTAAAAAACTCAAATTTCTCTTACATCATCACTTATCTCGATTTACGAGCCGTGGGATTTTTATCCAACGATCAGAAATTAGAAAATTAAGTTTTTAACATGCACGCACCCTATCCCTAATCAAAATTATTAAAGCTTTTAAAAAATAAAGACCGCCATTTTGTAGAAGAAAGAAACAAAACAACATTCTTTTTATAAAAAATCATAACTTTTTTTTGGGTTCTTTTTTGGTTTGGTTTTCTTTGCTGCTTTGCTTTCTTTAACCAGTGTTAAGTACTAACAAAGCCTCTCTTTGAATCTAAGTTTCTCTCACATCTTTGTTTTGCTTTGTGTCCTCCTCTAACTTTAAACAATATTCACAGTTGAAGTGATTTTGCTTTCATGGGTAGTTGCCAAATCTTGAATTTTTATGCTTAAACTTAGTGCTAGCAGGAGGAGTAGTTTTCTTGTTTTAAGGTAAACAAAGCTTTCACTTTGTTAGTACATTACAGTATCAAAGACTTGAACTTTCTTTACCTCTTGTGGTTTCTTTCTTTTCTTAATAAAAACCCACATCTCCAATCAACTTGGTTCTTTTTTTTTCTTTCTTTCTTTTTCTTTTTTATTGCTCTTTCTCGGTTACTGGGTTCATGAGTTCTTTTGGGTCTTTTTTGTTTTCTTGAAACAAAGAGAGAGGAGTAGGGATTTCTTGCAGAGTAAAAATGAGATCATATGCTTCACTTCAGCTACTCTCTGTTGTTTCTCTTGTTCTATTTGTGACTTGTGACTCCTTTGCCATAGATGAAGGTATGCATTATCACTTTAGTTCTCAGATCTTGATTCAATATTATAGTTTTCATAAATGCTTTGTTTTTGCTGATATAAGATGATAAACTTGAATTATTGGGATTTGAAGTTGAGCTAACTAGTGTCACTAGGGTGAATCAAGTGGTGTTAGTTATTGTGTAATCAATGTGAAAACTTCAAGATTCAAACGTGGGTTGTTCCTGCTATTCTTCGTGCATTTACTTTGAGACCTAATAGCGTTAGTGGCATTGGAAATTATGTGATCCGAAAGTAATTTACAGTACTGAAATTTACTGACCTGGGAATTTTTTTGGACTTTGGTAATTATAGAGTCTAGACTTTTCTCTAAATGGAATTTATGGACTTCTGGACAGTTTGGGCACTTACAACATTCAAGGAAGCTATATATGAAGACCCACATATGGTTTTGTCCAATTGGAATGCCTTAGATGCAGATCCATGTGGTTGGTCTGGCATTTCCTGCTCTTTTGCTCGAGACCATGTTGTAAAGATGTAAGATATGATCCGTCAATTTCTCATTTCAAACTTCAGGATTAAATACGTTATAGTCTTTCCAAAGTTAGATCCTGATGCATGGTATATTTGTAGGTGCATTTTTTCAATGAATCAAGTTTTACCATTTTTCTGTTGGGTTTTTTTGCAGAAACATTACTGGGTACTCTTTAAGGGGATTTCTTGCCCCGGAGTTGGGTCGGATCAAATTTTTGCAACAACTGTATGTTGCTTTCTTTTTGTTCTTTTTATCATTATACTGAAACATATGATTTGTATTTAAAGCTTTTTTTCTTTTTCGATGTGTATTTGATGTTTTGTAGAATCTTGCACGGCAATAATCTGATTGGGATCATACCAAAAGAACTGGGACTGTTGAAAAACCTCCAGGTCTTGGATTTGGGAGCGAATCAATTAACAGGCCCTATTCCTCCTGAGATTGCAAATCTAACCAGTGTCATGAAAATGTAAAAGAATTTTGTTATTGGGGTTTAGCAATTGGACTTATATGGTTGGTGATATTGAGTTTTATCTTACTTTGTCATTTTATGTTGTGGTAGAAACCTCCAGTCCAATGGGTTAACAGGAAGCTTGCCTCCTGAACTTGGCAATTTGAAGTCCCTTCAAGAACTTTGGCTGGATAGGAATAGACTTCAAGGATCTTTTCCTGCTAGTAGCAGCTCGGATGTCGCATCTAGTGCATATGGAATGTAAGTATGATTCTGAACGGACATCACTCTTTTTATTATGCAAATTAGGGGGAAGAAAGAAATTCTATTAAGCAACAATACTATTCTGATTTAAATATGTTGTACTAGAATGTTTGTGATTGTATGGGTTGAAAACAGTTTCTGTAGAGATTTGAAGGTTTAGGATGGGACATAAGATTATTTTTAACCAGTTGAACCTCATGGCTTTCATTCTTTAAAGTTTGTTACTTATAATCCACTCCTGCTTCAGGTATGCTTCAAACACAAACTTAACTGGCCTGTGTAGAGCATCTGAATTAAAAGTGGCTGATTTCTCATACAACTTCTTTACTGGGAGCATTCCCAAGTGCTTGGGGTATCTCCCGAGGTACGTAAGCTTATTCAGCTTTTTCATACTGGGATTTGGATGTTACATAAGCTTACTCTATGCACCACATATTTCGTTCAGCTCAAGATTCCAAGGGAACTGCCTTCAGAACAAAGATCCAAGACAGCGTTCTTCTTCTCTTTGCGGTATGTATGACATGGTTTTTCTTTCGGCCTTCAGGCTCCCATTGCTGTTTTTGTGAACCATACCACTTTGTATCAATATGTCTATGGACAGTAATGTTTGAATTTAAGTTACACACATTATGATCGTGCAAGTGTCTGTTTCTATGTGAATTGGTAGCAGTAGGTCATCATAGATACCTTGCCATGCTAAAAAGCTTGATTTTGTTCCTCAACAACAGAATTAGATTCCTCTTTACCGCCCTGTCCCGTAGTGAGTGTCTTACTCTTTTAGTCTGCTCCAAAATAAGTGTGGTGTGTGACATTCAAATCTTTAGAGGTTTTTTTAATAGTATTTCTTTTCTCTCAAAGGCCCCATATTCCACGTAATCTTATTTAATTTTTTCAAATCCAGGGGAGACTTTGAATACCTGACCCAAATGCATGGGCTCTTATACTCTCCTAGTCTCCTTAGTGCTTCTGTCATTGCTTTACATAAAGCTCAAAATGGGATGGAGAGTGAATTGCTTTTTCACTGTAATATGATGTACCAACCAATTTTCCAACTGAGCTTTGTAATAACAGGTGTGCCCTGTGGCCAGTAATAAATTATTGTGATTATACTGACTGATGAATTCCTTTTATAGATCGTGCTCCACCTGCCAGAACCCATCAAACAACAAACCCCAGGCACCAGCCTGCTGAAGACGTATCCAAGCGGCATCAGAAGGCATCAAAACCTGCCTGGCTTTTGGCTCTGGAAATAGTGACAGGAACCATGGTGGGCTGTCTCTTTCTTATTGCCTTTCTAACAGCTATTCAGAGATGCAATAACAAATCTTCTCTCATAATCCCTTGGAAGAAATCATCGAGTCAGAAGGATCATGTGACAGTATACATAGGTTTGCTTCCATATTACCAAACCATTACATGTGCTACAGTGTTTTTATGTAAAAGTAATTTGTGTTGCCTTATTGTGTGTGTATTTTCGCACAGATTCTGAGATGTTGAAAGATGTAGTAAGATTCAGCAGGCAGGAGCTTGAAGTGGCCTGTGAAGACTTCAGTAACATTATTGGCTCTTCTCCAGACAGTTTGGTTTACAAGGGCAACATGAAAGGTGGGCCTGAGATTGCTGTCATATCCCTCTGCATCAAAGAGGAACATTGGACAGGCTATCTTGAACTCTATTTCCAGAGAGAGGTAAAGACTTGTTCTTTCTCAGTGCAAACTTTTAGTGTAAAGCTTTTATAAAGAAAATACACTGAACGACTACAAATGTAAAATTGGAAAAATATGGGATAGCCTTTTCTGAGATGGTTTTTTATTAAATTTTTATCCAATTTAGGTGGCAGATTTGGCAAGATTAAATAACGAGAATGCAGGAAAGCTGCTTGGTTATTGTAGTGAGAGCACTCCATTTACGAGGATGTTAGTTTTCGAATATGCATCAAATGGGACCCTGTATGAGCACCTTCACTGTAAGTTGAGTTTCTTGCTTGGGACAAACGACATATTTAAGATGTATATAGCTTAAAGTTGATCAAACAACCTGTATGTATGCAGATGGAGAAGGATGCCAGTTATCTTGGACACGGCGCATGAAAATTGTCATAGGCATTGCTCGCGGACTGAAGTACCTTCATGCAGAACTTGAGCCACCATTTACTATATCAGAGTTAAATTCCAGCTCCGTTTATCTCACAGAGGACTTTTCCCCTAAGGTACTCAGCGATGCCTTGCTCTATTTTTCTAAAACAAGTGTTAAACTTAATACTTTCCACACAAGAATGAAAAATCGTGTTTTTAAGTCTGTCAGCACTTCCCTTTCGGTGTCACAGAAAAAAATGAACTGTTCACGAGTTTGAATTTGCCTCAGATTAGTTCAATCGTTTTAGCTATTGTCACTGTTAGCTTATGTAACCCAAAAGAATGTATCAAGCATTCTATCATTATACTCTTATCTTATCCGAGAGGACTGGAAGACTTGAAGGAGCTCTGGTAGCTTGGAAATCTGTGGTCAGGATCAGTAACCTTAGCTACGCTTCATTTCTGGGGTTCATTCATTTGTTTAAGCTTGTAAAATCTTTTAATACGTCTGAAACTGTCTTCTGTAACCAGATATCTATTAAATGTCATTCCTGATTCCCTTTCTAGTTAATTTTGGTTCTTAAAACCAGTAACAAGTTAACAATTTGTTATGATGGATGTCAAACCCCTATAAAGTTGTGGTCCTTCTTTCTTTTTGGTTGTCCCTGCAGTTGGTTGATTTTGAAAGTTGGAAGAGTATTCTTGCAAGATCAGAGAAGAACTCAGGCTCCATAGGCGGCCAAGGTGCTATTTGTGTACTTCCTAATTCTCTGGAGGGGCGCCATCTTGATGTCCAAGGGAACATTTATGCTTTTGGTGTTCTTTTGCTGGAAATAATCAGTGGAAGACCTCCATACTGCAAGGACAAAGGGCGCCTGGTAGATTGGGTAAGAAATCTTTTGTAGTTTAAACATTTGCAAATTCCCGTTCTAGGTAACCTCAAAGCAACAGGTATCTGTAAAACCCATTTGTGATAAAAATCTTAAAAATTTCTCTATTCTGTAGGCTAAGGACTTCCTCGAACTGCCAGAAGCAATGGCTTATGTGGTAGATCCCCAGTTGAAGCATTTCAGATTCGAGGACCTCAAAGTTATATGTGAAGTGGTAAAACTTTGCATCCATCCAGACTCCACCGGGCAGCCTTCAACGCAGGAGTTAAGTGCCATTCTAGAGAGCGGAATTGATACAACTATATCTGCTGACTTTAAGGCATCTTCCTTGGCATGGGCAGAGCTTGCACTATCATCATAATTGAGGTGAAGGCTTGAAGCTAACACACTGTAAATCAGATTCATACAATTGTATTAGTCTTTTCTTTTCTTTTGCTTTTTTAACACCTCAGTTTTATCTGAGGTCTTTGTAAATGTGTGCGTTCTAAAAGAAACAAAGAGCTTCTTTTATGACAATAGCCTCATTGTATACCATTGGATGATGAGTAAAGTTATGACAATAGTAAATTTTTACCCCAAACTGAGTCGACCATTTCTGTTCTCGTGATTATGTTATCTATTTTTGTAAAACTCTGAAGATGACTCATAGTTGACAATGGAAGATTTCAGTTTCAATATACTAATGCACATATTAAGGTGCAACATGCTGCAGCATGATCGAATGCAATTCCCAGAAAAGAAAAGCCAAAAAAAAAAACGTTTATATGTCTATAAGATGCTCGAGTCATAACTCAAAGGGAATGGTCTCTAATTTTTTTGCGTCCTTTTCAGAAAATTAGAGTCCACGAGTGAAACAGGAATGCGTCTTTGCTTAAAATCATTGATTCCAGAGATGAAAGGATATGCATTTGTCTCCCAATGTTCTTACTAAACTTTCCCAACAACTTTGATGAATGGCTGATTATGATACCTCAGACAAGACAAACAAGTTGTTTCACTTGATTTTGCAGTCCCATAACCTTGATGCAGACATGAAGAAACTGACAAAAATCAGCATGAATTAAAATTATAAAAAATATATTTGCAACTGACTTCAAAGAAGGATCTGTAAAAAAAATAAAGTGTTTTAAAATGTAGCAGAAATTTAGCCGGCTAAAGATTCGATTGATCAGGCTGAAGAATTTATTAGCTAATCAATATAAATTTCCTTGAAGACCAAGAGCTCCATTCAAATCTGTCTAATAATTTGCTTCTTCGTGTAAGGGTCAAATTGGGTTCCAACCATCTTGCTGTGGTTTCTTGCCCTTTCAGAAATCAACTTTGATTAACAGTTGCATGAACAAGAGAGAAACGCTACTACCATTCAAACAAACAAGGTCCTTTTGTTCCAGGAAGCAGGTCGTCATCTTGGGTTGGTGAGGGAGTGACATAGCGGCAACTCACTAAAAGGAAGATAATTACCGTTGATCTGAAATTCGGATGCCGATCTACTATAACATGTTAAATTGCGCACAAATGTTAAGAAATAGGCTTCAATTTCTTTGATTCAAATAATGTCGAAATTGGGATAAAACTCGAGATACTCTCTCATAAAACTTTATTAACCTAGAAAAAGTTACGTTTTTCTACCTCAAAGTCATACATAAATAATAAATTTCGATCAAAACCCTAAAACAATTCAAAAGAAAACAAATACCAAAAATCCAAAAATATTAAGGAAAAATCCCGAAAAACGAGTAAAAGCTGATTTTGAGGGTCTAAACGATATTTTTTGAACAAAATACCCCTACATCATAAGAAAAGCCTATGAGTTTTTATCTTTGACCCGTTTGCCATTAAATTAGATCCAAAAAGCCTTAAAATTAGGTCAATAGTTTTTGTTCGGCTTTTGTCACGCTCCCATCGATCCATGAATTCCAAAGCCCATTAGTCCGCATCATCCCCCCGGAAAGAGAAATTTGCCCTCGAATTGTCCATATCATCATTGTCGAAGAGTCACCATGAAAGGGAATTAAATGCTTGACATTGAGCACATCGACAGTGCAAATATGACTAAGCGAGTTTAAGATAATAAGCATTGGGGTTAATCTTCTTAACTATCTACACAGGGTCAATCCTTTTTATTGTCAATTTGTCCTACTAAAAAATGATCCTTAGTGAGGATAGCCCACATGAATTCATCTTCTTCAAACTTGACATGGCGACATTTCTTGTCGGCAGCTATCTTGTACTTCGAATAAGACTAAGTCAAGTTATCACATATAAACTCGTGAATTTTCCGTAATGTTGTCACAAAATCAGTCGACTTTCCATGAATCTTGGTCTTGTTCGACAACAATATCGGATCCAAAGGCCTACGTGGAACGATATAATACACCACTTGGAATGGATCGAATCCCATACTCCCGTTCACGAGCATGATTATGAGCAAATTTAGCTTGGCATAATTTCGATCCCAACTCTTGACATGATCACCAACAAAACATCGTAGCAAGTTTTCAAAAAATCACGTGACAACTTCAGTTTTCCTATATGTTTGTAGGTGATAGGCACTACTAAAATTTAACTACTTATTCATAAACCGTGCCAAAAGTGATCGAGGAATCTTGTATCTCTGTCAAACACAATGGATGTCGACGAGACAACGTAGGTGATACACCTTTCGAAAATAGAGACAAGCCGCATTAACAACATCCGTCATCTTCTTGCAAGGAATAAAATGAACCATCTTAGAAAAACGATCAACAATCACATAGATGGAATCATTATCTTGTTGTGTTTGGGGTAATCCCAAAACAAAATCCATACCGACATCCATCCAAGGTCGGGAAGGCATATGCAACGACATGTAAAGTCCGACATTAGTAGTTGCTCTCTTAGAAACTTGACGATTCGACAACGCTACATAAAATTTCATTTCTTTTTGAATGGTAAGCCAAAAGTATGAATCTTGAACTAGTTGTAATGTTCTATCTCGCTCTACATGACCCTCCCCATACAGACTTTTTAATGATTTGCAAACACAAATTACAATCAAACACAAAGTTGGTTTCCCTTGAATAGGAACCCATAATGCAATAGAAATTTTATCTTCTCTCCCGTGCAAACTTTTCCCATAACAAGCAAGGAAATATGGGTCGATATCAAGCAAATTATAAAACAAGTCTAAACCAAGTATCTCATCTCGCATCCGTTATCCCGTTAGTGATCCCAACATTATACTTAAACCACAAAGGTAAACCGTTGCAAATAAGGAATTCACCTCACATGCCTTGTCGACACCTTATCCTACTTATCCATATGAAGTACTATCGAAGTATATAACATGAATTGTCTATGGAATATGTAATGCCTCCACTATTTTATAACTTAAACCACTCGCATAGAACTTCACATCATAAGTATTGTAATTAAGCTTTACACTCGATAGCTTTTCACTAAAGTAGGTTATTGGTCTATTGTTCCGACTTAAAATAGGCCCAATGCCTAATTTAAATGCATCATCGTGTAGCTTGAAGGGTTGCATAAAATATAACAGACACTAAAATTAGGATATTTATCAACCGTGTTTTAATTTTTTGAAATGCTTCTTCTACCTCTTCGATCTAAGTAAACTTGGCTCCCTTCATACAGCTTGGTAATTGGGGTTACATCGCTACTAAAGTGAGGAATAAAATGCCTATAAAAAAGATGTAACCCCATGGAAGCTTTGAACCTCGTAATGGTGCTCGGGTCGAGACCATTGTCTCACCATCTCAATCTTAGACTCATCTACCTATAATCCATCCTCGAAATGATATAACCAAGAAACAACACCTTTAGTACAATGAATACATATTTTTTTACTGCTGTATAAAACTCATCCCTATGAAGTACTATCCGAACCTTCCTCGAGTGTTGGATATGAACTAGATTAGCACTATAAATTAGAATATCATCAAAGTAAACAATGATAGATTTACCAATAAATGGCCTTAATGATTCATGAAACGTATAAAAGTGCTCGATATGTTTGATAACCAAAACGACATTACTAACCACTCATACAACCCCTCACGTGTCTTAAAGGTCGTCTTCTACTCATCTCCAAGCCTAATACATATCCGATGATATCCATTCTTTAAATCTAGTTTTGTAAATATAGTTACACCATTAATCCGATCAAGCAAGTCATCTAGTCCGGGAATAAGAAACCCGTACCAAACTCGTGATCTTGTTAATGGTTTGGTTGTCTATACACATTCACCAAGAACCATATTTCTTTAGCATCAAAAAAATAAGTACTACACAAGGACTTAAGCTCTCTCGCATATGCCTCTTAGTAAGCGACTCCTTAACTTGTCTCCTCAACTCTTCATGCTCATTAGGACTCATTCCGTAATAATGTTTGTTGGGTAGCATTATATCAAGTTTTAAATCGATCCAGTGCTGAATGTCTCACAAGGGTGGTAACTCCTCACACAAATAATTGAAGAACACATCATGAAATTTTGCCACTACAAGTGGCTACTACTTCTAGCACTACCTCATCGGTTCGACTCCTTTCCAATCAACACATAGATCACTCCCGAATCTTACAACTCCTCCTCAAATCAAACCAGCAACACTAGCTTGCTATTATCTTTGTAGGCTTGGAAACAACTCGAAACCTTATTAGGCACAAGCATTATTTTGACACCATTAAATATAAAGCTATTGGTATTAACTTGTTCATCATGAGTTACACTCCTATCATATCGTCACGATCTACCCAACAATAAATGACACACATCCATGATAATTATATCACACCATACATCATCTTTATATTTAGAATAATAGAAAATGAAACTATAGCTCATTGAAAAACAATTACCTCTCCTCCCTTTTTAAGCAAGACCAGTTTATAAGTGTTAGAAGATACGATCTATAAGATTGAGTTGAGGAATTAACTCCTATAAATTAGCTAAATCAAATCTATTAGTAGTTAATATACAAGTTGTAGTTTCCTAGTATAGATACACTACTCGTATTATATAAACTTATACCCGCATAATGAAAAGTGAGAGTAATACACATACCTTTTGCTAACCCTATTTTTTAGATGGTATCAAAGCCGGGTTTTGATCCCGGGACTCGTGGGTTATGGACAACTTAGGATGCCCCTCTGTTTTAAAATTCAATTTTTGCACTCGCTTCATTAGACATAATATTCTCACAACTATCGGTATTAATGACAAAACGACATACATTTCCTCAAATTATATAGGTAGACTAGAAAATATTACTCAACCAATCATTATGAGCAACTTGAAGAGTCAAACATGACCTTCTAATAATTAGTATTGTCCCCTCATCATCTATCACAACCTCTTCTTCTAA